GCAGAACACCCTGAGCTGCAGTGGTCTATGGAGAAAAAAGGAGAACCGCAAAATTCCAAAGCAAAATCAGAATATGCGGATTTGTCATTCTCTGTTGACACATCAGAACCTCATAAAACAACACAGCCAGAGCTGAAAGAACACAGTTTGTTGCATTCTTTTGTCAAAACAAAGCCTTGGGCTGCCCCACTGGAGTCTGAACTTCCAGATACCTCAGATGCCATGGGCAAAGTACTGCACCCTGATTTGTCCTCTTCTGTTAGTGAAGAAAAACAAAGTGCACACCTGGAGGTCAAACAGGAGAGGGGATGCTATACATTACACCCAGAGGAAACAGTACAACTGAAATTGGAACAGCCCGTGCTTTCACGTTCTTGTGGCATAGCAGAGCAACCAAATAGGCCGCCACTGGAAGGGGAATTCCTGGAATTCTTGTATTCCTCTGGCAAAAAAGAGCGACAAGAAACAGCAAAACAAGAGTTGGAGCATTCAGATTTATCATATTCCACTGATAAAACACAGCAACAAAAAACCACACAACTTCGGTCAGGACAACCAGGTTTATCATCTTGCCCTGGGAAGACAGAGCAACCACAAACTCTGCAAGTAGAAGCAGAACACCAGGACTTGCTGCATTTCATTGGCAAAACAGAACGGCGAGGAACAGCACAACCAGAGGTTGAGCATCCAGATTTGTCATATTCTAGTGGCAAAGTAGAGCAGCCACCAGCTACACAACAGAAATCAGAGCAGCCTGTAACACCCCATCCCTTTGGAAAAACAGAGCAACAAGGAATGCAACATCCAGAGCAGGAACTTTTATCATTTTCCATTTGCAAAACAGCATCACAAGAAGCAATGCAAATGGACCTAGGGCAACAAGGTTTAATATGTGCCCTTGATAAAACAGATGAAGTGCAAACAGTGCAAGGTGAACTGCAACATACAGGTTTGTTGTATTCTTCTGGCAAAAGGGAGCAAGAAATCGTATTGCCAGAGTTGCAACATCCGCAGTTATCACATCCTGTTAGAGAAATAGAAGATGAAACTACACATCAGAAATCAAACTATCCAGGTTTGTCATATTCTACTTGTCGACAAGAGCACCATGAAATTGAACAACCAGAGGTGGAAGAAATGGATTTATTCTATCGAGCTGGCAAATCAGAGCACTCACAGCCTGCTCAAGAAGTACTGCAACAGCCAGAGCTCGGCAAACTAGAGGAAAAGGGAATGTCCCAGCCTGGCTTTTTGCACTCCCTTGGTGAAGAAAAGCAGAAACCAGCTTCACAGATTGACTTAATGCAACCAGGTTTATCACATTTGCTTGGCAAGACAAAAGACCAGGAAAGTGCACAAGCAGGGTTCATGCCTTCTGATTTTTCATATTCCACAGAAAAAGCAGAGCATTTGCAAACAGAACTAAAATCAAACCAGCCAGATTTGTCATCTTCTCTTGGCAAAGCAGAGACTCATGGAATGAAACCACCAGATTTATTGTACTCTTATGGCAAAGTAGAGCAACCACAGACTGCCCAGCTGGAGCATCCAGAGACATCATATTTCATGGGTGAAACAGAGCGGCGGGATGGATCCCAACCTGAACTGCAGTGCATTAATCTGCAGTTCTCTGTTGTTGAAACAGAGCAACCAGAAACAACTTCTATATCATATAGTTTTGGCAGGACCAAGGAGCAGGGAACTGCACGACTGGACTTTGAACAATCAGATTTATTAAGTCCTACTGAAAAAGCAGAAAAGCATGAAATGGCCCCACTGAGAGCAGGACATGTGGAGAAGCGAGGCACTGGGGCTACTTCATTTCTAACTGCTCAGTTGGACACTGAACAGCAAGATTTATCCTTTTCCACTGAGGAAACAGAGAGCCAAAAAATTCAACCATATTCATCTCATACTGAACAAACAGTGTCTATACCTTTGGGTGTTTCACATCCTGTCTCTGAAACAAAGCCAGAAGGAAGTCCAAAGTCTTCACTTGTAACTGGAGGCCTGTCCCCCAAGCACTTAGATTTATCTTACACCCACTGTAAAACAGAGCAGTCAGAAACAACGCAGCCTGAGTCAGGTTTCTTCTTTGGAAGAAAAGATGCAGAGAATACAAAAATTCATCTACATTTGCCTGTGGCTGCACAGTCAGAGGATGAACATGTACCTTTACCTGAAACAGAGAGAGAACAGACTCCACATTACTTCCATGCAACTACACAATTAGAATCTGATCAATTAAATTTATCTTATTCTACAGATAAAGCAGAAACTCTAGAAAGTCAAGATTATTTAACTGTACCTTCAAAACTGGAGTCTGAACCTTCAGTTTTACTTTATTCAGCTGATGAAACATGTCAGCAAGAAATCCCACCTTATTCAGAACCAGCCTCTGAGTATTTGGTTCCCACACGGTCCCTTGCTGAACAAGCAAAGCAAAGCATGCAGCCACTTATTCCCCGGTCTGCACTATCAGAGTGTAAACACGTAATTCCACCACATGATAAAAAAGAATTGCAAAAAATTCATCTCTCTTCACCTAAAATAGCAAGCTTGAGGACAGTGCAGTTGGAGAGTATGTCTCTAATGCACACACAAGACAAAGACGAGCAAGAATCTCAAGATCATTTGTTGGATGCGAAATATTTGTCATCAGAGCAGCTAAGAAGTCCTCCCAAATTTTCTACTGAGCAGGATAAGCAAGAAATGCAACCTGATGTGCAGACAGTGCCAAGGTCAGCGACCACAGATTCAAAGGTGACTGTTCTATCAAACCTGCAACTAGTGTCATCAGATTCATTTGTACCTTTTCGTACATTACCTGAAAAGTCAATATCAATGGCTTTTACTGATGATGAAGAGAAACAAAATATTCCATCATCTTTATCAGATGTAGTAGGCATGCTTGGAAAGCATTCTAACATAGATTCAGGTATTTATACTGAAGGAGAGGATAGACATGATGTGCAACCGCATTTTGCAGACCGAAAGCATACCTCCTTAGAGCATCTAGGAGCTGTTTCATCAGATCTTGTTTATGAAACTGTGACACAAAAACCTCAGCATTATTCTGGTGAACAAGGCAGCCTTTTTTCAGCAGAGATGAAGTCTGTTAGCTCTAGTTTTGATGAAAAGCAGAATCCAGATATTCCATCTTTTGCGCTAGCTAGCTGGCTGGCAGAAGAGGTGAAAGCTCGCTCAATTAGTCCAATAAGAGCTACAGAAGTAGACAGGCAAGGAATTCGACTTTCTCCAAATGAAGCTTCTGATTTTGGATCAAAACAATTCCCAGCTGGAAGTTGCACAGAACTTACAGTCCATAGTGCTACAAAGAATAAAGGAGATGTGTTTAGAGTTTCTGATTCAATGTCAAGTGAAATTTCCCACACAGTGTCCTCGGACACTAGTCACAGTGCACCGTCTCTGGGAGGAGATATTCCAGGTCCAGACAAAGTTCCAGAGCATGAAACTAGCACTGGAAACCCTACAAAAATGGAAGCAATGCAACATCCAGAGCTAGACAAAGTGTCTAAAGAACATTACCTGAGAGGAGAAGAGGAAGAAATGGAACGTATGAGTGCTGTAAGAGACAGTCAGCATGCTCCAGAGCCTACTGAACAAAAAGATCTATTCAATATAATTTCAGAAGGTTATGAAATACTAAATATTCATGCTCCAACACATATTTCTTCTGTTGATCAAGAAGAAAGTAAACACATGCCAGATAGATTAGAATACTTGGAAACAAATCCTTCATTTAAAAGAAGATTAGCTGATGATGGCCATACAGCCCTATCTTCTGGAACAACTACAGAAATTTCAGAAAGCTCAGTATTGGGAAAGCCTGCAAGCCATGAACTAAAAGAATTGGTAAAAAATGATGATGTTGAGGAAACTAGAGAAACACAACAAGAAAATCCCATGTTGCCAGAAAACAATAATAATGCAATGTTGGATCCTAATAATGGTATGGCTGATGTGGATTATTTTGAAAAATATACATTGATTGATGACAAATCCCCAATTAAACCACATTTTGAAAGACCAAGTTCATTGTTTCCTGTGACAGAAGATCCCAATGAACCTGTGGAAGAAGGCACATCTTTTAAAGAAAGCACTGAGGCAGATACTTTGGAAGAGGAGTTTTCCTTACTTGAGGATCTGGATGAAGTCTTTTATGGTACTGTGAAGGGAGAAAGCAAAATGCAGTCCTATGCAGATGCTCCAAAACCTTTACCTCTGCAGAAATCTATTGATATTAGCAGTAAAAAGGTTACAAATGTAGAAGATGAACGGAAGTCACCAGGGACCCCACTCTTTGATTCAGAAGAAGGAGTGCTAGAACGATCTCTGTTGTTCCCTACCACTGTTGCCGCAGTTAATCCAGAGCTTCTAGAGGAGCCACCTGCTCTGTCATTTTTATACAAGGACCTCTATGCAGAAGCAGTAGGAGAAAAGACAAAAGATGAGACTCCATCTGATGAGGAAAGTGGTAATTCTAATGCATCTTTCCCTAGTAGAAATTCAGACACAGATGATGGAACAGGAATATATTTTGAAAAATACATTCTTAAAGATGAAATTCCAAGTAAGGCCATAGGGCCTCAAAAGGATCAGATACCAGAGGATGAATCCTTTAGTGGAGGAATTTCAGTTCAGAGTTCAGAGGACAAAGACAAGCAGGTGTCTGGTGATGTTCAATGTGTCAGAACTGAGGTTCTGACAGAAAAGAGTGTTGTGGAGAGAGAGAAATTCCAGGTTGACAGTGACATTCAAGCAACAATTTGTAAACCAATGCATGCTATTCCTTTTGGAAGCAAAGTAGTTCTTTCAGGTGCAAGAAGTGATACCACTGAACAAAGAGAAGAAGAAAATGTACCTGTAGAAACGACTGAGGAGTTGCCAGAGGAATCAAGTCATCAGACATATAGTCAACCAGTGGATTATCAGGGAGCTGTATATCCAGAAGGTGGTAATAAGCAGGAAGAACAGCATGACATAACAGCAGTTCCTCAAATGGAAAAATGTGTTCCATATGTCAGGAGTCCTGTTGAAGACAATGAAGATGATCAATATACTCAGGAAGATCTTTCCTGTGTCCCTACCATTCAGCAAACAGAGAAGCCAGACTTGCAAAGACAAGAGCAGCATCCTGAGGTTTATGAAGATCTTGCTGAGTCAATGGATTATGATGTGATTACACAAGAAGAACTTTTGCAAGATGAAATATCATCTCAATTCACACACGAGGAGCTATTATTTGAAGATAGGGACTCTTTTGAGCATGCTGGTGATAGTTATGAATTTATTAATGAGCCAGAACAAAGCACACCTGTTGAGCTTGAAGATTCAGGTTTTGTGGTGATGTATCCTGAAAAATCAGCAACAAATATTCCTCAAGTTGAGAGCCCACAAAGAGAACCGAAGAAAGTGCAAGCAGACACATATTGTTACCACTGCAAATGCCCGATATCTGCTATTGACAAGCTTTTTGGAGAACATAAAGACCATGAAGTCACCACACTAGATGATGCTGCAACCAAGATGAAGGTAAGAATTAATCTGGGTGAGAGAAGGAGTTACTAATTTCTCCAGACCTGCTGTGCTGTCAGGCTTCAGAGAGCAGTCCAGAGGCTAAGTCACAGTATCTACAAAACAAAAACTATTCCTAAACACCTGTGGGAGGTCTTGAAGGGAGACTAGCTTACTAAGGTAGTCTCTAGAGTCCTAGATTTGCTAAGCTGATGTTTTTATTTTTTCAGAAGTTAGAATGACCTTGTTTATATGTAGCTATTATCAGACTTCCCATCTTTTAGTTTTCTCACCTGTGTAAGTTTGTTCTGGTTTGTATGTGTAGGAGGAGAAATGGGAAGAGTGTTGTTCCTATGAAAAGAACATTTAAGTAACAGCAACTCATTTTACTTGGCAAGGTACAGAATCCTCCATATGTGGGGACCAGTATCATCACAAAATGTTCCCCATCCCAGTTACATGTGTTGGTTACTTGGAGATGTTAGACGAGTTACACAGTTTACAGTTTACACAGTTTTGTTGAAACTCCATCCTCGTTTTCTGTTCAGTTCATGTTCATCTGTGTCCATAGTGTGCTGTAGTGCCAGTATGAGTTTAGCAAGTCGTACTTCTTCCCACTATCTCTAAGCTGTACCACTCTAAAAGATAGGTAAAGATGGCCTCCATTTCAGTAGCCCAGTCCTTTGCTATCAATACTAGTGAAAATGCTTTTGTTTCTGTGGAAGCTATTCTTCATTAAATTGCAGTTCTGCTTGTAAAAGCAGCATGCATGTGATGTCTCACTTTTCCCATGTCAGATTTGTTCATGTACAAGTATACAGATGTTCCTGTCTTGGTTACCAGCTGTTTAATCTCATCCCAGTATCAGAAGGGTGAGGTGCCTTTCCTGGCACATGTTCAGTTGACAAATTTTGTGTAATTTCATTAAAATTCCAGAAGGACTTTGATGGTATTTACATTATCTTTATGTGTCCTGATTTCAGCTGGGATAGAGTTAATTTTCTTCATAGAAACTAGTATGAGGCTATGTTTTGGATTTGGGATGAAAATAATGTTGATAATGCGCTAATGTTTTCAGTTGTTGCTAAGCAGTCAAGGACAGTCCAGCTTCTCATGCTGGGCTGCCAGCGAGAAGGCTTGGAGTGCCTGGGAAGCTGGGAGGAGGCACAGCCAGGACAGCTGACCCAGGCTGGCCAAAGGGGTATTCCATATCATAGGACGACATGCTCAGTATGCAAAGCTGGAGGAAGAAGGAGGAAGTGGGGGGGATGTTCTGGCTGATGGCATTTGTCTTCCCAAGTAACCGTTATGTGTGATGCAGCCCTGCTTCCCTGGAGATGGCTGAACACCTGCCTGCCCATGGGGAGTGGGGAATAAATCCCTTGTTTTGCTTTGCTTGTGTGTGCAGCTTTTGCTTTACCTGTTAAACTGTCTTTATCTCAACCCATGAGCTTTCTGATTTTTCCAATTCTTTCCCCATCCCACTTGGGGACAGTGAGCGAGTGGCTGCGTGGGGCTTAGTTGCTGGTTGGAGTTAAACCACAGCATTATGTTAATTCATATGCAAAAAAGAGAAATTAAAAGTAGGAGGACTCAGTGTGGCAGTTTCAAATATCAGTATTTACAAACTATCTCCATGGTGCGCTGATGTTTGACAGTGGAGTTGCTTTTTATATATGAGCATTCATGTTTGACTTAGAAGTGATAATTAGCCACCACTAAGTCAGTAATAAAGTCATAGACCCCAGCCATACTTCAAATGTACCTGCATTGCAGTGAGTCAAGTTAAGCTGCAAATAAACATCCCATGATATCACTCCCTGGCTGTGGAGCACAGACATGAAGCCGATATTAAATGTGGCCACAACATACGTTTGGCTTCACATGATTTCTAGTGCTTAGCACTCAGGTTACTCTGAGATGGCATTTCTATGTTTCTTGTTACTTCTGTATAATTACTGAGAAAACATTAAGATAGCAAAATGCTTGTTGCCTGAATTTTAATTGTAGGAAAAACTTCACAGTAAATGAAGTGAGCTACAGATGGCATCTGTCAGGTTTTATAGGTTATCTTGACAAACAGAAGTTTGCCTCCAAATCTTGGCGATTGGGCCCTAAATATTTATTAAGTGAGCTTTCAATTGTACAGTACAATGTGACATTTATAATTAATATAAAGTTATATGCTAGTTTTCAATAGATCTAGCTATAAAAGTTTGCCATAATAGAAAGCTGTTACCAAAGGAAGTTAACCTTCCTTTTAGATTTTCCAGCTAATTAAAACTAAGTATTTTTATAAATTATAAATTGCACCTGGGCAAATGGCCAGCTTGCTTTCACAAAAGGTCAAGAAGGACTAAGAAAAATTTCTGGTTCATCTCTGATGCCTGTTGTCCCTTGGACTACTTTTGTTTCCACATCTAATTCAATCAGTGATGTTGATTAATTCTAGCTTATAGGAAATATCTTTAACATTCTAATTAAAAAAAAATGACACTGCATAATCTATTAGCCTCATAATTGCCTGTGTTATCTTCCTTTTTATGGGCTTATTCCTGTGACCTCTTAAAGAACCTCATGAGGTTCTAAGTACCCTCAGTCTCTAGAAAAGCTGCACTGGAATTCATAACATTCAACAATTTGTTTAGACACTCAGCCCCTTGTCAAACTGAGCTCACCATTTTTGGTTTGTAAACAGTATTGTGTCTGTTCCAGTTGCTATTTCTGTCCTTGTCTTTGTAGCCAGGGTGATACTTGAACTTAATTTAGCATTTGTTCCAATTGTGGCTCATGGCAAAATGAAAATATTCACCTAAAATAGGTTGTGTGTAAAAGATGTATAAAATAACATGCCTACATTACTGAAACATTTTAAATTTCAGGATCAGTTAAGTGAATTGCTAATAGCAGTGGAAGAAAAGTCAATGAAGATTGAAGAGTTTGTGAGTGATATTGAATTGTTATTTAACTCTGTTGAGGTAAGTCCAGTGTTTTATCACACTAGCTTCCTTTCCCTCAACAAAATGACTTCTAAGATATGCTTGCCTTGTTTTACAATGTCATTACTTCCACTAAAATGGGCTGTTTCACCAGTCCTCAAACTGACGTCTCCCACTGGAAGGTATTAACTTTAAGGGAAGGAAAAGATTGCTTTTTTTTGCATATTATTGCAAAGTTAAATATATGACTGTCAGCCACTGGAGGAGAAAATTCCCTTAATTTTGTTATGCTTATAAAGACTCACACTGTTTGTGTCTTTAGTTAGAATCCTGTATGAACCATCTATATGAGTTGCCCAATGTCTTCAGTTTGTAATGCCCAAGTTCTTAAGCCTTAGTTAAGGTTAATAGCCTTCTATTAGTTTCAGTTGAAAGTATGATTTTTAGCTACTTTGTAGTCAGACTTCCTGTCTCAATGCGTGAATATAGAAGTTTAATTTTAAACACTAACAGTAAAAAAAACCCTTGCCATTGTTTTTAACATATTTCTCTAGTGTTATTTCTCCCAGATGAGCTTGCTTACAGAAATAAAATTCTCTTACTGTCAGGATGCCAGAAGGAGTCTGGTGGATGGTTCCTGTATGGGTAATTGAGAATTTCTGTGTATTCGTTAAATGTTGTAATTTTATTCTACAGATCAATTTGCATCTGTTCTTATTTTGCAGGAAAACTGTAAGAAAAATGCAGAGTTATTGGAAAAGCAGAATGAAGAGATGCTTAAGAAAGTGGTGGCACAATATGATGAGAAGTCGGAGAACTTTGAGGAAGTGAAGAAGATGAAAATGGAGTACCTGTATGAGCAAATGGTTAACTTCCAGCAAACTGTTGATTCAGCAAAGGAAACTTTGGAAACAACAGTAAAAGAAATAGAAGAACTTGATGGATTTGTTTTCCTAAATGTAAGTAAAAATGGCTTTCATGCTGAAGCTTTTATGATATCAGTTAGGGAAGCACTTATACTGTACTTAGGCTGAGAATGAGTTATTTACCTTCCTTTTTTAAGATAACTAAATCCTGCAAGTTCAGATTTTCCACTCCGAAACTGCTAGATCATTTGCTTTTGTCATGTGAATGCTCAGAGAAAATTGCAAAGATGATGCATAGGATGAAAACATGCCTTATACCATTAAAATGGTTCTGTTTTGTTTTGTGAAGAGAAGTCTAAAAGACAGTTTGATAATTTATCTAGAATTAATTATCCACTGAGTAGTAAGAAATGTTAGAGTAAAAAGTACATTACTGTTTGAAAAATAAAGGTGAAACAAGAAAGTGTAATTGAAAATTATCCAAACCAGAAGCAGAGTTGTTGTTGGGTTGGGGGTGGGTGCTTTGTTTGTTTGTTTGTTTGTTTGTTTGTTTTTCAACAGCAGACACAGACAGTAGTTATGCACTCAAATTACTGAGGCTGTGATAAATGTTTACTGCTGAAAAACAGTGAGCAGCTGTGTGGTGCTTAGTTGCTGGCAGGGGTTAAACCATGACAATGGTCTAGGTTTAGGAATGTGCATGCGAGGTGCATGTCTGTAATGGTCCTTTCTGGATGTAAAAAACATCCCTTGTGAATCTACATGACTGGAGTTACCTAGCTCATACAGTCATCAGTCGTAAGCTAGTTTCAGAGGGTCTTGCAGGTTAATCATTAGTGGCCTGGGTCCTCCAATATTGTTTTTGTGCTACAAGACTTGTCTGTGAGTTGTGGCACTTTCTTCTTTATAGAAGTGTATCAGCAGTCTTGAAGGGGATGAGATTTCTGGGACGATAATCTTCTCCTGTTATGGAATTAGCATTTAGTCTGGAAGTTGCAGAGAAAGTATCCTGGGATGCAAGAAATAAAAGGTCAAATTACTATCTGAAGACTGATCATTCATGCAAAATAGAACAGCTTTCCCAACAAGCCCCCAGGCACTACATCAGTAGTTACAGAAGTGGTGGAGCATTATTTGGCTTTCTCCCCTGCTCCAGGCTGCACAATGTCTTGGTATCCTGTACCCATGTGAACACTGTGGTAGATTGGCTATTTTGAGATGGATGAAAAATCTTTCTTGTTTTCCTGAACTTTGTGAGGTACTGAATCAGTGTTGGCAAAAAGCTAACTTTGTAATCTGAAATTCTTTTGTGGTGAGAAAATTATTAGATTCCCTGCCCCTTTCTGTTAGTGATAGACATCAGGAACTTTTCTATCCATGAGCCAGGAAATGTTATCTGAACATTCATGGAGCATGGGAGAAACTCACTGCATGAGTACAAATCTCACCCAGCTTCTAGTAATAAAAAGTTTTGAAGGAGATTTCAGCCAGAAGTTGGATTTAACTGTTCTTAATGTGCAGGTGATTTGTTTCTGTAAAAGCCTTGGTTTAAGAAAGTATTTGACTGTGCTCCAGTCTTTAAATGTGGATATTGAATACTGTCCCCTCAGGAGCTTAAAACCAGATTTACAGTCCAATAGGCTGCTGATCCAGAGCTTTGAAGTGGAATATTCTTAAGTAACCAAATTCTCTGCTGGTGTGAATGAGCAGAGATGTTGTCCCAGACAACATCAAGTCAATAAAGCCATGTGTATTTTGTGTCTGTGGAGAGTAGCAAGGCTGTTAGAGGAGTGATTCTTCAACATTTTCAGGGTTTTGAAAACTGTTAATACTTTTTTTTTTCCTCCTCTAGTCATCTAAAGAATTGAATAAAAGGTATATGAAATACGGGTTAAGTGCACTGTAGTGAGTATGAGGCCTAGCATGCTGGATCATTCTTTTAGTATTTGCAAGCTTTGAAAACATACTGCTAATATTCATAGCTACTTTTATAAACCTTGCAAATAATGCAATTAAGAGAAGAGGTTTTATATTTGTTGCTGTAACTGACTGGTTTTGAAATGTTTTGCATGTGTTCTCTAATATATCAGTTAAGTAGCATTTTAAAATGTCAGCTCAAATTTAAATACCTATAAAGATATTTTTAAACAGATGTTCCTTGTAGTTATTATTATACACACATACACTAAAAAACATTTTGACCATGCTTCCATTTCTTAGACATCGCTGGTATGTTCTTTTTTCTCTAGTCTGATTCTGTATTACCTGGTCTCTGAAAGATTATAATGCAAAGTGTCACTGAAGTGGCTGGAGTTGTTGGACTATATTTCTGAACACAATTCCAGAAAAAAAAAAGACATTAAGTAGCTTTCAAAACCTTACCAGGAGACTGTGGGCTGATGTTTTCCCATGCCTCTTCATCAGCACTGCCTGATTCAGGATGGGTCAGAGAGCTGGTGCCTTATCACAGCTGCATCCTGGCCCACTTTCACTTCCCAGTAAATACATAAAATCACAAATGGTTCTCTGCCATGTGTGATTTCCTCAAGGGAGTAATTTTGGTGAGACCCATCCTTTATGAGAGAAGTGTTTGATTATAAGCCCGTATTCTCCCAATAAATTTTCCAAGGTGAACTACAAACATTCAGACAGGTTGGCTGCAGCCTTCTCCTATGCAAGCCTTCTCCTATGCAAGCCCCCAAACCTGCTTTCCCATGCCACCACCACCACTGACTTTGCCCAAAGGACCTGGGCATTGCACAGTGCATTTCAAACGTTCCCTTACCAGTGCTGCCTCAGCCATCAAAGTGATGCATATGGTCACATGGAGTGGGGTGTAACAATGACATCTGGGTTCCAGTTTGCAGTCAAGTTACAACCCCAGGAGAGTGGTCTGAAGAGAATGTGTCAAACATCCCTTCCTGGTCGCTATTAATCTGCAGAATTAGGACTATAAATTTGGACTCACCTGTTGTAAGTCAAAATGTGAGAGTCTGACCACATATCTGCATGTAGTTTATTGTGTAAGAATAGAGTAGGTATTATGGGACAAAACAATTCTCCAAGGCTTTCTGTATGCTTGGTCTTTATTTGTTTACTTACATACTAAACTTAAAGTTTATTCTGTTTTGTGCATGGGTTAGGTTATTGCTTTAATGTGATAATACCTGACTTGCTAAAAAAGGTTAAGAACAAGTCTGTATAACAATGCATGTTTATCTATATAAAGTATATTTTATCTTTGTTGTGCTTTGTGAAGATTATACATATTTAACTACTTCAGTGACTGAAAGAAGAGAAGGGGAGAAAGGTAAAATTCAGTTGCCTTGAAAAAAAAACACTTTAATTTCCTTGAAGCTGCTTCTGCCCCAGAATTAAAAATATATTGGGGTTTTTCCTATAATGAACTCAGCAAATATGGGCTAATTAAGTGGAATCTATCTTCCTTCTCTCTTTTTTTTTTTTTTGCTTGCCACAAGCAGCTGCTTCCCATTATACCTCTGGAGTCAGCTGCTGTATCTTAGCTCTAAGGTTTGTAACCTTTAAAGGCACTGTGTTAGTTAAGTCTGAACATCTGTGCTCTTGGGAATCTTGCTGTGAATTTCAAATCCTCAGGTTCTCATGGGTCAAGTTCATACAGACCATGTGCACTCTCACTGTGCTCCTGATCTGAAATTGCAGTATGCTCTAAATGTTCAAAACCAGGGAGACAGCTTCTCCTTCCATGCTGTTCTCAAGTTCATGGGAAATATTTAGAGAAATGTACATCACATGGTCTTTGCTTCTGGCCTTTGGAAAACTATGTGACACCACAAGGGATTTATACAGACAGCTATGTGTTTTCTTCCAAATAGGTTACTTTCTGCAATGGATACTACCCTCTCTTTAGAAAAGATGCCCAGTGCTTTTTCACTGTTTGAGCACTATGCGGACAGTCCAGGACAAAGCAACCAGCACTCCTTAAGACATGTGGCTGGTAAGAATCTCTGAATGTCATCTTTACAAAAACTAACTTTTTGTCAATGCTTTGGAAATTTTAGGAAGCTAAAAACAGAATCTATTTGAGAAGTATAAATTTGCAAACCATGTAATTAGCAATCAGAGTTGAACGTAAAATGAAGTCTAATTGTACACAAGCGTTTGGCTTATAGTAGGACACTAAGATGAGAAACAGAGTAAAAAGTGCTAAAGTGGGGGATTCTTGCATTATTTCAGGCATCTGTACCTCAGACTAGCAGAAGGTCTCTATCTGCAAATCCCCCAGGGCTAAAGAAGTTGCTGTTCCCTTGCAGGCAGGGATAGAAGAGACAATCAAAGGGTCTCTTGAGCTTTCTTTCTCCGAGGGGGCAGCCCCAGCATCACTGGTGTGGGGAGGAGAGCAGGGAGCTGGATGATGGCCAAGGTTCCTGGGCTTGTGCCAAGTGAACAGAGGCACCTGAAACCCCCACAGGACATGAAGGGAAGGTAGTTAACTGTAGCTGGAAACGGCCTCTTCTTTGGAGGGCAGCAGTGAAAATTGCACGGGGGAGGTTTATTCATCTCTATCTCATATTTCATGTCCTGTAAAAAGCTTGCCTGTGTGGGCTTTCTGCTCTGCCTGTACATAGACCTATAGAAATAATCTGGAACTGGACAGCAGTCAGTGAAGAGTTTGTCAGCACCAATTTGTGGATTAATTTCCCTTGTAACAGGGTCTAATTCCAGTGTTTCTTTCTCAAGAGGAGGTTTGTTTAGGGACCTTGCCTCTCACTGTCATGCTTTGTGACCTCCCATTCACCATTGCACACACCACCATCATCATAGTCACTCTCCACCTTTTCAAGCGATGCCTCTTTCTCACAGGTTTGGTCCCTGAGCACTGGAACTAGAACACTGATTTCCCTAAGGTACTTTGTTTCTGGATGGATTTTCAGGTGTCTATTGGGACATTGGAGATATGCTGTCTTGCGCAGACTCCCTGCTGTCTAATAAAAGCTGAGCACACTCAGCAGTGTCGTTATGGGAAGATCATCTCTCTCCTCCACACCAATACTTTTATTAGACCTAGAAGAACAGAATGACTCTGAGTCCTTAACTTCCTTTTCAGATTTGTATGAATTTGCCCACCAGCATTCAAAGCTTCTCAGGTGAAGCTGTATAGGCACTTGTGCATGCAATGTTATCACAGTGTAATTTTTTTAAGAAGTCAGGTAACTCACTCTCAGAGTTAACTCAGTGGAGCAAATGTGCTGTGTGTCTTGGTTTAGTCCATAAACATCCTCTTGTAGTCCCATGGCTGCAACCATTCTTTCTTCCTGGTCTGCTACCTAATGGAAAGGTCATCCAGGAGGACAGACACAGAATCACAGAATCATTAAGATTGGAAAAGACCTTCAAGATGATCAAGTCCAACCATTAACCCAACACCACCATACCCCCTAAACCTTATCCTGAAGCACCACATCCACACGTTTTTTGAACACTTCCAGTGATGGTGACTCTACCACCTCCCTGCCCAGCCTGTTCCAATGCTTGAACACTCTCTTGGTGAAGAAATTTTTCCTAACGTCTAGCCTAAACCTCCCCTGGCGCAGCTTGAGGCCATTTCCTGTCGTTCTATCACTAGTTAGTTGGGAGAAGAGGCCAACACCCACCTCACCACAACCCCCTTTCAGGTAATTGTAGAGAACGATAAGGTCTCCCCTCAGCCTCCTCTTCTCCAGACTGAGCAACAGTTCTCTCAGCCGCTTCTCGTAAGACTTGTGCTCCAGACCCCTCACCAGCTTCGTTGCCCTTCTTTGGACACGCTCCAGTACCTCAATGTCCTTCTTGTAGTGAGAGGCCCAAAACTGAACACAGTATTCGAGGTGCAGCCTCACCAGACCATTTTTTCATGCTGTATTTCCTTTTCCCACAAGTCACTCCAACATGTTTTTCCCTAAAATGCTGAGATCCACTTTTGGTTTGATTTGCATTAGCTACTGTGTTTGCTGAACACCAGATGGCTCCAGACCAGTTTGCTTTGACAAACTGGAAATGAATGACTGTCCACTAGCAAGCCATATTCAAAGCTCCTCATCCTTTATACTTTCTTCTCTTTCTCTTTCTAAAATACCTGTTTTTCATTCTTTACTTCCACTACCAAGTATTTCAATTGCTATTATGATTTTTATTTTGCTGAACAGTAGACAAATTTTTTTTTTTCAAGATTACACCCTTCCTGAAGGAAAACAGAGGTAAATGCCTACATGAAACTTTATTTGGAATTGAACGCCTTGAGTACATCATTTATCACATACTGAAGGCAAGTGTCAGACACTGTCAGAATTTTTTTGACTGAAGCCATTTGATGAAATACATGTGAATTTGCCATGTTTCTCCAGTCCACATATTTTTGCTTCATAAAGTATAGTATTTTACTGAACAATTTCACAGAACTTTATTTTCACCACTTCAGAAACACCTTCAATTTCTCAATTTTCAATATGCACTAATGAAAAGCCCTTTTCCCTCAAATTCTTCCTCCTGTCATGTAAGACACGCCCATTAACAAATGCATAAGCATGCCATGAGCATATTGTAACCCAGGCTCTGCCACAAGAAGAGTAGGAATAATTTAAAAAATGAAAAATTATTATTTTCAAAGCCTGCCATGAGTCCTGGACTTTTATACAGGCAAGGACCTTTGCTGATTGTAACAATCTTCCATTAGAGTCACAGAGGAATGTAACTGTTCTCATTCCTCAAGCCCACAAAGCCAAGGAAATGTTATTTCTCATTACGTTGGAAAGGGGTAGATATCCATAAAACATTTGGGATTATTATTTTTTCTCGTGGGGACTGTGGAGATCAGGTAGCATAAAGGAAAAACTTCCTTACACCACAGCACTTCAATGAAAACTGAACTGATGAGAAAATTTTCAACTTTTATGTTGAAAAAATTCATTTAAAAAGGGACCAGCACTTTGATAACACATAAATGTTCTGTTTCTAATGAAACTAGTTCAACTTCTTGCTTTGAAATTGCTTCCTTTCAAAAGTTTATTTCATATTATGCAAAAGAAAATTAGAAATCAAATGTTTCTCAATGTTATTGAAATGAATTTTGATCTATAACTTTTTTTTCAGAAGTTTCATTCATTAAGCTAGCTTCTGTTCACAGTTGGCATAATAATAAATCTTGCAGTTGTAGAGTTTCTGTGATCATAAATAGTGGTTTCTAGGCAACTTCACGGCGTAAAAAAAAGCTGGTTTCCCCACCAGGTCCACTGAAAGGAAGTCTTTTTCTAAAGACAATCAATTTTTAAATTGACCAACTCTAGGTGCAGCCAAAAGGCAAAACGCGGATTGTTTTTAGCAATGAGAAAGATTTTTTTTTTCAATGTGAAGCAGACGTAATCCTACTGTACTGGTCGCTCTCTGTGTAAATCATAGAGAAACAGCCAGCATCTGCATTTGCCTTGTTCATGCCACAGGGGATCATCATCATTACTGTGAAGATGACTAAAAAAAAAGAAAAAGCTTTCTGCTGAGATTCTAGGAGAATTCATGCAATATGGAAATTTACTGGGTGAAGAAATAGAACCATGTATTTTCATTTCCTGCAATCACTTTAACAATGAACATCTTTTGGGGCTTTTTGCTTCTTTCTTTTCCCTCCTTCTCTTTCCATAATCATAGAGGGGAACAATATCTCATCAGGGGTGGATCTGTGTCAATCAGGAGACAAAGTTTATATGAATTTTGGGGAGCCTTGGCCATCTTTGAAGCACTCTTTGTGAAGGATGCTCATGGTTGTCCCATGGGGTTCAGATGCTTTGGCAGAGCTTGGGTTCACTTGGACACCAAGGATTCTCTGTCCACTGGGTCTGTGGGGAAAATGGCCAAGCCAGGCAGGAGCACGTAGTTGTGTCCACCTCTGGGCAGGGGTAGACCCAAGGCTACAGGGAGCCTCCTGCTCCCCAGTGCTGTTAAAACCTTCCTTTGCCTGAAGTACATCCCTGCTGCTGTCAGTGTCAGTGGATTTGACACGCTGCATGAATCCCTTCCTGGTGTGGCAGGTCCTTTCCCCTGCCCACCTTTCTTAGATCAGCTACATATGTCTGTCTCTGGAGGAGGCTTTCTTCTTCTGCAAGCTCCCTCTCCCCATCAGTGAGCTATCCCATGCTGTTTGCTACACATAAGTGCTTTCAGCTTCTGCTTTCATGGGCATCCTCTTCACAGGGTGTCCTCTCCTCTGGTGCCTGTGCTGTAAGGCAACGTCATGTAATGGAGAAGGCGGTCACCCAAAGGAGCCTGCGTTAGGCTCCAGGGTCTTCTGGCCTTTCTGAGGAGGTGTCCTGAAGTTTTCAGGAGTCTCCTGGGGTTTCATCAACACATGTGCCTCAAAGTGGAGCGCAGAGCTGGAGGGCTCTCCCAGTGACTGAAGGGAGCAGGTCTCTTCAGAAAAGGAGATGGATCGTTGGAGCTGTATGGCAACGTTGCACGTCCAGGACTGGCACACCTAGGAGCCTCCCTGCTGGAGGCTGAAAATGAACAGCCGTGCAATGACTTATCTGCGCGATGGTCCTGCCCCATGGGAAAGGACTCCAAGAGCAGGGCAGGGCGTGGGCACACACTTTGAGCTGGGTTCAGGTGCTATCAGTACTAGGACTGGATCTTATTTTGTCCAGACTGGGAGTGAAATGGACAGATTCCAATGCCAAGCAATTACTTTCTTCTGTTCCTAGTTTAGGAGGACCTATTGCTCTAAAACTGCACCAGTATTCCATATTTCATGTACTTGCTGTACTTGTTCTGTGGAAATAAGCAACCTGAGTGAAAATAAGCAACCAAGTTACCTCATGAACCTGTAGGTAATTTGGCTGAAAATGCAGGAGTGTGAATAACAACAGGAAGCTTTCTTTTCAGTCCCACAGAGACCGACTGTTGTACCGCAGGAACCAAACTCGGCCACCAGCACCTCCATTGCTGTCTACTGGACTGTGAATGACGGGGATGCCATCGACTGCTTCCAGGTCTACTGTATGGAGGAGCTGCAAGCCAGCAAAGATGCGGAGGGTGTGTAATGTCTTGCCTGTACGACAGCAGGAGTCTTTTCTGCTCTTGTCTGGCGTCAGCAGAGGGTAGGCCAAGCTGCAGGGGAGGGCTCAGGATGGAGAGAGAAGCAGGGCTGTGAAGGCATTATGTGTAGGATTAAGGATGGGTAACAGTGATGGAGAGCATGAGGTAGATGCCATTCCTTTTGCGCTCCTTCATTGCCCAAAATGTAAGATAAATATCAAGGTCTTTAAAGTGCAGGGCAGTTGTTTGCAGAGAAGTAGCAACATCTCTGTTGAGGTGCCCTTTTATGAAGTGGCCTGATCTTCAGAGAGGATGTGTCAATGCTGTCCCATGGGTACTCATGGGAAATGCAGATAGAGACCCCAAAGGGATGGACTTCATTAGGTTTTTAGGGCCTTGCATATACTTTGTAAATATGTCCTAATAAAAAAGTGACAGGAAAAGACAATCAGTATTTCCACAGTATTTCCACCAGTCAACAAAGATTTTTTTTCAAAATTTCATTAAAATATTTCAAATGTTAAATGTGAAATTGAGAAAAGAGAATTTAATTCTCATTCATTAAAAAGCTCAAACTGATCATAAAGTCACTTTAAGCAACTGGGCTCTGCACAAATCCATGTGTGCATGTGTGTATGTTGGGGGATGTGTGTGTATGTGTGCATTCTAAAGGATGATAAAGGCTTTTTATAATAGCTAATTTATAGCTGAGAGCCATAAAGTCCATTATAAGAAATTGTTATGTTATAGATGGGTGAAACCAGGGTTGATAACTGCTGATTGTATGTCCCAAACTTGAAATCTAGTCCTCAATAGGACTAAGGGCCATAATCTCCCCTTGCTATCAATGGATTTTGAGTGCACTCAACTCAAAGGCACATCAGAAACTTTCTGTCAAAACTGAGTCACAGTAAAATATGGTCTAGCAGGTCTTGGCTAGTAATGCTTTCTGTATTTTTTTAATTGACTGTTTTTTACATGTTAGTTGAGAAACATGATTGTAAGCCGTACCAGTGCAACACATGTGACATACTCTGTGTGTGTGTTCCTCCTAGCTTTGGTAGAGGAGTACAGAGTGACGGTGAAGGAGAGCCACTGCATTTTGGAGGACCTGGAGCCAGATCGCTGCTACAGTGTGTGGGTCATGGCTGTGAATGGCACAGGCTGTAGCTTACCCAGTGAAAAAGCCATTTTTAAAACAGGTACGTACATATTTTGGCATTTGATTATTATAAGCTTCCAGTCCTTAGACCAATTTTAGTCCATAGTGTTACTGAAACAGAAGAAACTGCTTCGTTTAGCCCATCTGGCAGATAGCAAGCAACTTATGGTTGTTTCTTTTTTTGCTAAGAGTTAGAGGCATAATTGCTCCTGGGAGGAAACTTGAAGGCATTCAGATTTGAAGACATTTCCAGTCTCAAGCCGTGTGACTGGGTCATTGGAGCAGCACAGTACGAATTTATCTTCTGAGTGCACTGCAATGCTCTGGGGGAGCTCTGGGAGAGCCACCCTGCTGCTGCTGCCTCTCCTGTGGAAAATGGAGGTGATGGCTGCATTTTTTGCCTCTCTGACCTCCTCCCAAATATATCTACGTTGCATTGATTTAAATTATTAACTTTCCAAGGGAAGGCCTGCTTTACTGAGGTTACATGCTGCGTCTAGCTCAGTGGGACACAGTCTCAGGTGAGGCTGAGAGGCTCTGCTGCTGTTTAAGTGGTATAAATTAAGATAAGTAATTAGACAAGTATTGTTTATGAGCTTCATTTGACTGATTAGTTTTTCTGACTTTTAATTTCTTTAATAATATGTATTGACAAAACTATTGCTTCTTGAATTACGAACAAAGTGAGGCATCTTGTGTCTGAGGCCCTCTTGCCAGGCAATTTTTTTCGTTCTACAGGATAAAAACAATCATTCTGTTCTTGCAGTCACAAAGCACAGAAAAGGATATTTAAGAATTTTGTAATGAAATAACTCTGTACAACACTGAGTATGTTGTTGAAATCACTTGGCAGCAACCACAGCTTCAAGCCTTTTGTCCATAAGACTTGAATTTGTTGATAATTCTCCTTGATATTCAATTTGCTATTCATATTTTTAGCAAGGATTTTCCAGAGAATTCAAAGTGGAAATTCAAATTTTATGGCCTCAACAATGTAATTGTGAGCATGGTGCAAAATACCTGTGAAATGATCAAATAATAGTGAGTTGTTACTAGCTAATAAATTATAATTTAAAAAGGGGTTCTCACCTCTCTGAAGCCATTATTTTTAAGAACTGTCTTTGCCTTTTGGCATCAGGCTCACCATTCTTTTTCCCAGCACTGAAGCCTTCTGAAGAAGTTAACTTCCTTGAGTCTTTGATGCCTTCATTTGGCCTGTTTCTTTAAGAAAACAAATAAGCTAAATCAAACAAGGGCTCAGTAAACACTTTCCCTCAAGCTGAGGTGAACTCTCTGGAGTGCACTGAGCCCCAGATGGACTTTTGGGCACTCTGCTGCAAAACTGCTGCATCCCCTTAACTCCAAAGGAGGAATCATGACCACCGGTAATGGAAACCAGTTTTTCAGTGTGAGCCCGGAAACTTTGATATAAAGCTAGAATACTTTGGTTCTTCAAGTAGCCCAATGAACTCAGAAGCAAGAATTTAGAGAGTAATTCAGATTGAAAGTTGGCACATACAATAAAACAATTTGCTGGTATATGCCGTTATGGGAACATGCACATTAATAGTGGATCACACCTGTACCTCTTCCCAGTGCTGGGAACCCCCACAAGGTTTGCCTGTTGGGATGGCGCCTGTGGAGGCAGCATTGGTCCTGGGGAGTTGTGGGGAATGCAGGCGGGTGCTACTGCAGCATAACCCCAGCACATGCTGTCTCCTGCTCCTCCACCTCCCAAACTCACAGCTGTTCCTCCCCTCCCCTGGGAACACACTGTTTCCAAGCAGTATTTTCTCTGAGGGAATGATGCTGAAGGCAGCAAGTATCCCTCTACCCCTCCTCCTCCCAGTCCATCTGAAACTGATCTCCAGGTGGAGGCTCTTTGCAGTCCTAAAGACATCTGGGTGAATGCACCTTCTTCTGTTGTTCAAAACAGATGTGATTTCATCCTATATCTCAGGGACAGAATAAAAACTTACCGTTTTTGGCTCTTTGCTTCTTATAAGATCATTATATATGATTGCTGGAATATTACGAGGAAATCAGAGATATATCCTAACTGCAGTTAATTTGTTAAAAAAAATCAGAAGCACAGTAACAATTTTGTGATATGCTGACTCCATCTACTCTTTAGACAGATAATTTCAAGTAAAAAAACCCTTAATGTCTTATGACATACTGTTTGCACATACATAAATGTGTATATATGTGTCAGTTGCTGATGCAGGTATTAGGGGATTTAGCTATTACTTTTTCATTCTTTAGAAACAGATGCATTTAAAACCAGACAATAATCAAATATGTCAGAAGAGAATTAAGGGATTATTGCTAAGGTAGCTACACAGATATATTACCAGATAAGAATCTATCCCACAGATTCATTTTTCTGCTGAATACCTAGATAAAACATCAAGTATATCTACACCTGAACTGCTAACCTACTGATTTTCATTAAACCAGGAAAATGATATGTACTTGTGGGTGTTTTTCTTACCGTTTCTACTAATAGCAAACTATTTTTCTTACAACATCTGGAATGTTGGTTGCAGTTCTATAAGATTACCTTGTTATAAAGTTGTCTAATTTCTACTTTTGTCTTAGGCCTCCTATATGGAACCCAGTCTCTTTAAAAGCAAAATAATTTTCTATTACTTTTTTTTTTAATTAATGACCTTTCTTTTAAGGATTGATATTAAGACTGTTTGTATGAGTTTCAACAACAGGTTGTAAGGTTTGTTTATATTGCTATTCCTTGGAAAGGGAAAAAGCAAGTGAATACAACTAATCCATTTTCAGCCTATGATGTTGGATGTGCAATTTCACACAATAGCTTTTGATTACTTCCATTCAGTGCACTATTTTGCATTCCATTTTCTTTCTTGCAGCTGGACCTGTAGTTCTGAAGTCAAAGCTCTAAAAAAGAGAAATAACAGGACCACATTTTAGCATTGCAAAAAACCCCAGGACATAATTAAGCAGAAAGTCAGCATCTGCCCGTCCCCAGTGCAGCAGCACATTTGTTTCTGATGCAGTTCATGCAGGGACTGCTGAGGACAAGATTGAGGTGATGCAGGGAGAGCTGTAGGCAGTACTGCCTTGGTGCTCTGCTCCTTGAAGATTGGCAGAAATGAGGAAAATATGCTTAAAGAGAGGCATAAAAATCTACACAGGCATTCTAAGGATGTGTAGAAATGCACAAATAGTCATAGTGGCTTTCCCAGGGTGATTTTTTCCCCATAGCGTAGCCCTCTCCCACTGAAACACAAACAAGCAAAAGATCATTGCTGGGTGGGCAAAACTAACTATCCATCTCATGCAGTTTTGGGGAGGTGACTCTTCCTTTCTCTCGTGAGCATCCCCTGCCAGCCACTGGCGCCCTCCTTGTGCTATGACTAATCTGTCCCTGTGTACCCAGCACCCGCCATCCCCACCATCAAGGCTGAGGACTGCACCGTGTGTTGGGACACTGCCACTGTCCGTTGGTGCGCTGGCTTGGCGTCAGCGGAGTCCTTCACCCTGGAATACTGCCGACAGCACTCACCGGAAGGAGAGGGTCTCAGGTCAGTGCCGTGGTCACAAGTGCCATTCGGTTGGATTAGGAAGCTGCTAATGAGCATCCCCTAGACCATAGGTCGTTATATAAAAATACCTCCTTTTTATTCTGCTTAACTGGGCATTCCCTTTCATTTGGGTCCACAACCTTGGAGATTTTGCACTGTCTGCAATCAACCAGAAGTTGCAGGATTGTGCTGGCTGGGGAAGCAATCATTGCCCCACAGCTGCTATGGCCCTGGGCAGGGTATGGGAGGGCAGCTGAGCTCCATGGGAAGGAGCGGGATGTAGCACCCTGGCCCAGTTTGCTCTCTGCTTTGTGCTGAACAAGATAGGATTTGGCTTGGGGCATAGCAAGGGTGATATGAGTGTCCCAGTAATATTGGTGATCTATCTGCTCTCTGTGGATGTGTGGGCAGATCGCTCCCAAAGCACAGCTGATCTCAGTGCTGTGCAGGCATGCTGCAGGGATCAAAGAGCAACCCAAAGAGCAGCTTTGAAATTGGTGGTGGTGTCTGCTTATGCCAGACCCTCTCTGGTTTCCCCTGTGCTAAGTTTGGGCTGCATAGAGGAGACAGTGAGGAGGGACACAAGCACCACTGAGCCATGAAACCATGCACTGTGTTGAAATGCAGAGAAAATTATGTGGTATTCTGTATGTCCTTGGACCTTGAGGTTTTTTGTTTGTATGTTTTTTTAAAAATAATTACAGTATTCCAGCAAAATTCAGTTGCAAAGGTCTGAGAAGCTTTGGGAGGTGGAGGGGTGACTTGCCATACAGGATCCTGTAGAAGACCCTCAGCCCAGCGGAGTTTGTCTGTATTCACCTCCTGGGGAGCCTGATTAGGCTCTTCGCCCGAGGACTAGTTCAGATAGGCTTCATGGAGATTTGGCAGAGAGGGAAGAGCTGCACCCCTTGCAGTCAAAATTGTTTAAGTGGACTAAAGTGTTCACAGGTTTCCAGTAGAAAAGTACAACAGTGAAATTTTGCGTGCCTCGAGACCTTTTTTCATACAGTACTTGTGTGCTGCGTTAATGCAATCAAGGAGAGGTCTTGCCCTGTTTTCCTGCCTCTCGGAGGGCAGCTATGACCTGCTCTGTTTCATATATATTTCATGAGGCCATCATGTCCCTGTCAACCTGCCAAAGTCGCTGTTGGTCAGGGATAATATAGCTGCTTCCAAAACCTCCGTTGTGTGTTTGCCTTCGAGTTTCTTTGCTGTTAACTGGACTTGCCTCTTTTTCTCAAAATGGACCCAGAAAGTGTGCTGTTTCTGTAATCTGTGAGGTGTCGATAACACCAAGCAGTTTGCTTTTGTGGTGATAACTGTGGCAAAAAGCTGCGAGAACTGACCCATTCCCTTTCTCAAGTGAACTTGTGCAAAATCTAACATGTTTATAATTATATGAGTCACATTGGCCTTTTTGGCCTCCCTGAAGGCAGAAACTGGCCTTTTACTATGACAAGTGTGAAAAATTCCCATAGGACAAAATCATTAATTTTGTCAGAATTGCTGTAGTTTAAATTTCTGTATTTGTAGAAGGGCTCTGACCTCTTTTTACAGTATCAAAGACCATCTTTTACCACTTATTTTCCCTCAGTACAATGCTTCTCTTTCCTTTTCCAAAAAGCAACTCCCTCAGATTAACCTGGAAAGCTTTTGTAATGGCACCAGATATTTCAGTGATGTAGAATTTTTTTTTTAAGATTTCTATTTAATTTTTTTGCATAAAGCCAAGGAAAAAAGAGACTGCTGTTAGATGGAGCATATTGCCTGTATTGCTCCTATCCAAGGCCCTAAGGGTGCTAGCTAGGACTAGAAATCAATTCCTTATGTAGCTGATATAGTGAGAAGCTACCTTCTGGAAGAACCTGTAGGAATCTTAGAATTTCTATGTCATGTACCTATATCAGATGGAATAAAACTTTCTTTATGCACACCTTGCATTTGGGCCTGGAAATGGTGTAGTTTCTTCTTGTTGCTTTCCTTGAAATCTTGGAGTCTGTCCTTCACAGGTTTCCTGAGCAACACTCATATTAGGGACTAGCCAAACATGGAGCCCTTCGACAGACAGCCTGTGGCTGTCATGCTTGTGGCGGCCCGACAGCTGAGTGATTTCCCAGTCCCTGGGTACGAATTCAAATACATTTCTCAGAAACCCTGCAGAGCTCATACAGCTGCTTCTGAGGGCACAGTGGGAAAGCCAAGGTGGGGGACGGACATCCAAGGGAAGTCCTGGAGAAAGTGACATGGTCCCATCCCACAAGGCTGCTTTCACACATGTCATTCTGGGAGCTCACACAAGGCAAGGGACACTGCCAAGGGAGCATGCAGGGAGAAAAGCCCCCACTGAACAGCCATGTGTGTGGGGCCTCTGGTCTGAGCTGCCCCTCTGTAGCATTCAGTGTGTCACAGAATCACAGGATGGTTGAAGGGACCTCTGGAGATCATCTGGTCCAACCTCCATGCTCAAGCAGGGACACCTAGAGCCAGTTGCCCAGGCAGCTTTTGAATATCTCCAAGGAGGCCCTTGGAGCAGTCCCAGCTGCCCAGGGTGAGAATTTGAAGCACATCTCAGTAAATCCTCACTGAAACTTTCCTTCTAAATACTGTAAAAAACCCCTATGTTTTCCCCTCTAGGTTCTCTTTCCTTGCCAGCTTGCTACCTGAGGGACGCAGTTTCATATAAAACCATCTTAAATCTTCTGCAACAATGAGTCCCTGGCCTGCTGCTGTGGTTTTAAAGCTTCTTCCCAGGTTGATTCTTTTTCCAGAATCTTTATGAGGCTTTGAAATGTTTCTTTCAGTTTCCAGAGCTCTGCTGTTTTCTCGCTGTTCATCCTCTTTGTGTTGAGAAGTCAGTGGAGCTGTGGGTGGAAGATGGAAAACTGTGAGAAACGTAGTCCAGGCATTAGATGTGTGGGCTGTTCAGATGGAAACCATGTATCACATCATGAGAAATCTGTAAGACTTGGGGAGGCAGAAATTAGTACAGTATGCAATGAGTTTGTAAAAGTGGAAGTGACTGTCATTCATCCTCGCTGCCAATGCAAGACCAGCACTGCTAGTTACCGAAAACTTCTGTCTACTCATAGAGCAGTTCTAACGCTGGAAAAAGGAGAGCAAGCCTCCTTCCTGCTGCACTGCCCATGTGACTGTCCTGCCAGCTCAGAAAACCACGTGTGGGAAATAGGGAATCCTCCTCCCCTCTGATGTGCTGGGCTTGCCATCTGAGATAGCAGTGAGGACCATTGCAGGTGGTCCTTTGGTGATCTAATCTCAAAGCATCCAGAGCTGGGATGGAGGAGGGGAAAAGAAGGATGTGGCACAGCTGGAAACAAACTCAGAGCTGTTTGTTCTTCATCTTCAAGAGCTTTTTTCCACTCATGGTGCACCCCTTCTTTGTTCTTCTACATGTATCTTGAGAAACTTGCATACTTTCAGCTCTAACTCCACATCAATGGGAGCAGCACAGGTCTGGAGGTGCTGTTTCAGTGGAATCTTCAGGTGGAAAATGACAATTATGGCACAGAGAGTGTTCTGAATCACTGCGAGGGGTACAATTTGCTGGGTTCTTGCAAAATTTAAAAATATCCTCTAGACATTGTTTCCTTGAAATAAATGAGGATGCTGATAAGACAAACATGCATCAAAAAACAGCATCAGATTTCCCTAAAACCAGGGAAATCACAAATTTAAGAGACAACTGCTACTATAATATTCCTTGGCAGCTGGAAGGTGAAGAAACCTGTAACTCCTTTCTGTTCTGCTTTTGAAGAGCACATACCTGAAATTCAGAGACTGGATTTTGAGATTTAAAGATTCCTCTTATAAAGATAGGGATTAAGAGGAGATACTTAAAATATTTAACTTAAAATGTTTCTTTAATCTCTATGCACTGAATTTTGTATCATGACATGAAGACATTGTGGGGACAGTGCAAATATGATAACATTTAGACTAAAGGCCAGGATGCCTCATGCTTTGATAATAACACTATTACGTTTCCAGTCATCTATAAAATGGGCAGGTATATTTAAAGTAGAAAATAGCTGACATGAAAAATATTGTAGCTGGATTTCTCTTTCTTTCATGACCAAAACTACATGGTTCAATACTTCAGGTGAGCTTGAGGATGATCTAGCTGCAATGCTTGTTACAAGAACTCAGAAGTGAAACAGGCTTTCGCCCAACGCAGTGAGGATGCGTTTTCCCTTCCCTTCTCCTACGGATGTAGGAGCATATTGCTGTATGCTGTAAACTAAGCAGTATTTGTACTTTCTCCTCATCCTTGCTTTTTTGTCACTGATTGCAGGGTCAAACTGAAGCATGACCAACTACAGTGATTGCTAGGGAGCCCTCACTATTCACTTTTTCCTTTTGCTCTATCCTTTACACAGAAGGAGAGGCGATAGCAAGACCTATTTCTTCTTTGCATGCAACCTCTTGTGAGCTTGGACCTGGCTGAGAGTGTTGTAAATGAAATTCCTTCATGTTGGCATATTCTGTTTCATTAACTGGCAGCAGTGGGACTGTTTTTTAAGGCTTAATCGTAGCTAAAATTGATGGGCTGTTATTCTTAGGCAGCTTAAAGCTGGCTAAAATAGATTACCAAGCAGAGAATGTGATTCGAAAATCTGGTCACTGTTTTACTGACCAGCTCTACTTAAGGTCCAGACCTTTCTGTCTCACTATTACAACTGAAAAGAGGCATGCTATTACTCTCAGATTTAAACATGCAACTAAATTCTGATTTGGAGATTTTCATATTCGAAAGAGACCCAAGTCTGAACTTTGACGGCTGACCCTATTCTGCAATTGGCTGGACCCAAAATCTTTTCTGAATACCCAGGCTCTGGGATCCAGACTCCAGAATATGAATACCCCAGGTCTACTCACTACACTAGAATGTACCTGTCTACTTGGATTTATAAATGATTTTGTGTTTTACTAACTAATCTTCAACTAAATAGCATGTAGTGAAAAAGAAGATCTCCTAATTTCTT